ATATATAGTAGGACATAAACCATACAAGCAATTTAAAATAGTGCCACCTTTAGAAGAAAATATGTCCTTACTAACTGTTAAGAATACACAGCCTTTTAAGGACAATAATCTGTTACAAGCATTCATTTCAACAATGATGTATCTTATACAACTGACTTAATTTCTTTGGGTGTTCAGCATACTCATGAACTTAAAAATACATACTTACCAGTTCAATAATAATACAATTTTTTTTTAGATCGCATAGTTGTATTTTCTTAGTGAGTATTTTGGTTTTTCTCAAACATGGATTTATTTCGTGAAATACTTTAAATCACCACATTGAAAAGTAATATTTATTATGCTCATTCATACATTATACGCATTTTACACGACAAATTTTCCTTTTTTTATGAAATTATGAAAAAAGCATTTTTAGCTGTGAATATATTTTTTAGGACTAAAACAACTTATTTTAGTTGTTAAAGAAACGTTATTGTTAACATAAACATTTATATTAGATTTAGTGTCCATAAGAGGCTGAGTATTCTTGTTAATTATTATCGATATCTTTTCTCCTGCAGGTAGTGTTGTTTCTAATTGCTGTACAAAACGAATAGGTCAGGTGCATGACCGGTGCTGTTCTCATTTTGGACCCAAAGCCCATGTTAAAGGCCTCCAAAAGACAGTTAATAAATTTTTTTTCCTTCTTTTTTTTTAATCTTTATTTTATAAAGCTCTTTTAAGGTATGTAAAAACAGATACTTCGGAGTACGAGATAATGGGGTTAATGCACTTGAGGTAAAAGAGTTAATGGGTTTAAGGATGATGGGGGGCGTGGAATTGCATTTCTTAATAATTTTTATTTAGCTAGTTGAGTTATTTTTATTATTTTTTTTGTTTCCCCTACAAATTGCAAGTTATTTTTTCTTTTTTGAGGCAATTAGCTTATTGATTGTACATAAAAAAATTAAACCATTTTCTATTTAAACTCCACAACCCGTGTTAGTGTGCTTAAATCCTTTATACAGTTTTACGAGATTAAGCATTTGTGGTAAGGAGTTAGGGGGCTTATATTACCTACCTCTAATATTATATTTTTCTTCACTCAGGGAAAAAATTACCGAAGCTTTACGGTAAAAATCAATTCACTTAAGTGACTCCTTACAATTGTGAGAAATTATCAGAAACCCATTTATCAGAGTCTGTGATTAGCGTGTAAAAACACATAAACACTACTAGTGGATTATAGCTTCTTACACTATGGGATAACTATTATTATTATTNTACTACTACTACTACTACTACTACTACTACTACTACTACTACTACTACTACTACTACTACTACTACTACTACTACTACTACTACTACTACTACTACTACTACTACTACTACTACTACTACTACTACTACTACTACTACTACTACTACTACTACTACTACTACTACCACTACTACTACTACTACTACTACTACTACTACTACTACTACTACTGCTGTTATTATTATCTTGTATACAATACCTTGAATAATGTCTTTCCAGGCGAAGATAATGATGTTGGTGACGGAATAACAAAAGAAAAGATTTTAAATGGATCACTTTTTGAAGAAGGACCTCCGTTATTATATGCCTCTATGGTAATTTTAGAACATTGTGGTAATCACATCTATAAATAAATTTGTCTTTGTACAATTTTGTTTTCGTTTTTTTTCCGTTTATATAGCACAATCAAGTCGATGTAGTAAGAACGTTGTTGAACTGTGGCGCAGATCCAGCTGTTACAGATGTTCAGGGTCGTAACGCTTTAGATGTTGCTGCTAATAGTAGAATTAGACAAATTTATATTGAAGAGCTATTAAGAGCTACAGCATCATCTGAGTAAAATAACATTTTTTTTTGGTAGATCATAAAAGTGTGATTTAAGTTTAAATTGAAATAAATTTTATTTTAGTATTGAGAGGGTACAAAGGTTGTTATCAGCTGGAATAAACATTAATTCATGGGACTCAGAAGCAAGTAGAAATACTTCATTGCATTGGGCGGCTTGCTATAGCAATAAAAATATGGTAGAATTTTTGACAGGTATGATTTTAGTGTTTCATTTATATTAGTAGGTAACTTGGTAGTATGTTGTGTAGCTAAGGTGCAAGTACGATTTTTGCTCGAGTAGTAATCATCATGAGCGAATCACGATGAAACTTACGGTAACGAAAGCAATGAATGTTAATTGATCATGAATGTATGAAAGCATCAGATATCTCAGTGGTCGTTTCTGCATCCACGTAATAGTTCAGTGGATGACGAGAGTATGTTCATTACTCGAGAGGAAAAGATCTTTCACCTCAGTTGCCTACAATACTTTTGCAAAGAGAGTACAACTTTTTCCGTTGATTTTTTGTTTGTTCTGTAATATTCAGAAAAAGGCGCTAATGTGAATGCTGAAAATGGTTGTGGTGCAACGCCGTTGCATGAAGCTGTAAATAGATCAGAAATCGATATATGTAAAATTTTATTGAGCAATGGTGCTAATCCTCTTATTCAAGCAGTTAAAGGGTAAGTAAAATAATTTTTTTTAAATAGTTTCTTACAATAATAATAATAATGACTGTTTCAATAATATTACATATTTTTAGTACGTTTAGTGGTAAAACTGCTTATGATCTGTCAAGGCATAACAACCTGATACAGAGCTTGATAGAAAAATATTTAATTGAAATGCCATCAAAGGAAAGAGAAAGTATATACAGCCCTCCAGAACCACAAGATACCTTGGAAACACACTATTCGCCAAAAAATAATCTAGTTGATACACATCAGCCTCTATCAACGGAATCAATAAAATCATTAGAAAACAATTTTGAAATTCTGTCATGTGCTGAAGACTTGAAAGAGCCAGGCTGTAATAGTCCATTACGAACTCAACACTCAGTTATAAATACTGGTATTTATGAGTTGATTTGGCCTGAGCCTAAATGTATAATTGAACTTGGACATATTTCACCTCCATTTATTGTAGGAAAGGAACTTTTAATTTCTATTATTCAAGTACGTTGATTTAACTTAACTTACAAATAAAAAAACTATTTTTGGAAATTAATTAAATTTTTTCCTTTTTATATTTACAAAATACAGAGCAGTGAATCAATACACAAAATATTAGATGTTTGGGAAATTAGTAGATCTCATTTACTAGAATTAGGCTGTGATGTAAAAATTGGTGAAGTGCAGCCTGGATCTGGTAGAATATCTTGTGATAAGAGAGTAGAGTGCATAGTGAACCGAAAATTATTCAATGTCACTGAGGGTTATCAATTACACATATCTCAAAATTCAATAAAAGTCAGCGCTGGTAGTTTGGCTGGATTACATTATGCCGTTTGTACTTTTGTGCAAATACTACGCTTGAGCAGAAATCGCACTAGCAATGTGGGAATATGTGAAATTGAAGCAGTATTAATTAAAGACAGTCCTCGATTTTGTCACAGAGGTATATTGTTGGATGTGTCGTTGAGAGGACGAGCTCCAACATTAGATTACTTATTGCACATCATTGACGTGTGGTCATCTTTTAAATTGTCACATCTTCATCTTTATTCTCGTCTAACACCAAGTTGTGATTGGCAGTTATGCTACTCAAGATCGGAAATGGTTACGCTTGATAGATATTGCAGGTAAAGCTATCGATATATTTTTAGAAATGTTTTTAATAAATCTGAATTTTACAAATAACTTTATTTTTTTCGGAATATAGAGATCGACATTTAGAATTAGTGCCAGCACTTGACGTAGATTCAAACGTAAGTCTTCAACATTTGTCACAAATGTGGCCACTTTTCCAAGAATTGCTGTCTACATTTCCAAGTTTAAGCTATGTGCATATAGGACCCAGACTGGCTAACTTGTTGGTGCAACCAAGTACATTTGATTGTTCTATATCCGTTGATGAGACCATAGAAACAGACATATCTGAAATGCTAGAATCATATTCTAGTCTTCAGCAAGTATGGCACATTCTTAACTTGAATTGCGATACAACTGTATTACTATGTTCAAATGGGTTACACTCCAAGACGGAATTCAAGAGCATTCCAAATAATGTTATACTAGTGGAATACGGTTTCCAAGTAAGTTTAAAAGCGGTGAAACTCATATAGATAGCATTATTTCTTAGACTAATCAATGTAGTATTTTTTTTCATAAATGCGACGGTTTGTAAAAAGTATTTTAAACTTTTAGTATCATATGAGAATATGTATTGGCTTGAGAATGAGAAAACCTCTATCGACTAGTTTGCATCCACCATGTATTGGCAAGGAAATCAATATAAAATTACTTAAAAATTTTTTAGCTTAGCTACGCTCTGTTGTAGCCTGATATGCAAAATAATTCGTTAAAAAGCATAGAAAAATAATTTAATCCATTGAACGTATTTAAACAATTACCAGTCAGTTCCATTAAACTCTAAATAATGCCAAAAAAGATTGTTACCTCTATTAGTTGTCAATTTATGGAATGTGCGCACGTAGTTAAATACCATAAAAACTCAGTATGATAATAATAATCAATTATATTATTCATTACTAAATACTATCTTACCTATCTTTATAACTATATTTTCCATCATACACATAAACTATAGTTATTTCAAATACAAAGAGTATTTTGAGTATTTTTGATATTTGGTAGATGAAAAAATAGCTTCCACTCTCTACGACATACAATACGTACTAAGTATTTTGTGCAATCCGCACACTAATTTTTTGATAGATCCTAAATACGCTAAATAAACTTATTCTTCAACCAATTTAATTAGTCACATAGCTAAAAAGATCTAATTTAATATTGGTACGAAGTACTTGTTGGAGCGTAAGAAAAATATGGTAGAAAAGGCTAGGATTTGATCTGCCGACGATCCTGGACAAAACGTTCAAATTCCATTCTTTTTTTCCATACTATTCTTACGCTCTACCAAGTATTTTGTACCAATGTTAAATTTTACTTGCAAAGGTATGTGAGTTATTAAATCGATCGAAAAATGATTTAATTTAAGAGTGGACAAAGGAAAAAACAGCATGCGAAAGAAGGAGAGAGTTAACAGACGAACATCAAGACGTGAGTAAGTGCATACAATTAGAGATAGCTGCGCTGACACATAGTAATTTAAAAACGAAATTATAAAAAGGAACATACAATTTTTTAAATAAATTTAAATACTTTAATCAAAAAGAATAGAAAAATTAAATTAAAAGAAAATCATTAGTTTACATACTATATATTGTACATATATACGCATGTATGAAATCCATCCATCATAAAAGTTTATACTTTTTTCTATCTTAAATGTACTATATTTACTATCATGCAGTTTTAATAATTCGATCGTGTTTTAATTTCTTTCGTGTCAGTTTTTCATGCAATTCAAGTAACAGGATTTTTTTATAGATATCTTTTCTGCCGACTGTTCTTTTGAGAGATTCTCAGGTAGGGAATTGTAACGTCTAAATTAGACGAGAGCAAAAATTCCTTACCATATTGCACAAGCGTGTATATCTATATCTATCAGCTGGTTCCCAACGTGGGTTGCCCGCGTTCACCCAAAGAACGCTCGTTTTTTGGTTAAGTTCGGACGAGTGCAGGCGAGCGCGGGTTGACGGCGTACGCTCAATCTCGGTCCCCGAAAATACCTAATAATTATCAAATATTGACAGTTGAACACGGTTTCTTACGAGAAAACAAGGGTTTTAATTAAAATTAGGGTTTATTATAGATGTGTTACAATAAAAAAATCATTTCTATAGATACCATTGAGTTACTAAGAACTAGTTATTAATAGCTTATTATAGTTTCCCTATTAAATTTGTACATTTCATCTGTTCTTTACAATATTTAGCTTTTTCTAACTTTAAATTTGTTTCCATTGGTGTGTCATAAAGTTGTGCTTCTTTAAGCTTATATTTTTGTGTTACTAATTGAATATATTTTTGTTGACTTAATTTCATAATATGCTTATCTTTCTTACAATTCGTTTTAATATCAATGTAATCTTTAATTCTTCCCAAATCTTTCGTAATAAATTTCTTCATCATTTTCTGTTTCATTAATTTCATCTTCTCAAAATCCTTACAGCAAATTAAAAAGTCATCTACAAATTATAATTTTTAAATTGGATTCAATCCTTTGTTTTTAATATAAAGACAAAAGTCTCAATTGCTTCATTTGAAATTTAATTTTTTTATAAACTCATTTAATGTTTCATACTCCATTTCACAATGCTTGATTTCATTTACAAGCTATATGTCAGATTTAATTTTTCTATTTAGAAACGCTGTTTTGACATTAATTTGTTCAATGAATAAATCATTTTGATAACGGTATGATAACAAGACTTTTAATGTCTGCATTTTTCCTACTGGTGAATAAACATTTCCAATAATTCTTTGTACTGAAAACCTCTTAACTACTAAGCTAGCTTTGTATGTATTATCATTCCTTTCCTTGTATATCCATTTAATATCTGAAATTTATTATTTCCAGATTCATAGCTTCTTTCTATTTTTTATCTTCGTTATAACTTATCACCTTGAATGTTTTGGGTAGATTATAATTAATGTAATTAACATAAATAATGTGTGTAATTAGATTACCATATTTTTCAATTCGACTTTTTGGCCTTTCTGACTTCCTAATTTGTTATTTATTATTTTTGTGTGTTTGTCCAGAATTTAGTTGTTGTTGTACGTTTTTATTTTTAATTATAGTTGCATTAGCATCGTTATTTTTAGATTCACTTTTATTTACATAGCTATTTTTATGGTCATTTTCTTTTAAAGACTGATTTTTAGAAATCTCATTTTTTAAATTTTCATTTAAATATATTATTTTTATTTTATATTCAACGACCTCTACGTGTCTAGCAATTATAACTTGATCACTCAACAAAACTTTATAACCTTTTTTTGCTGTTACGTGAATTATAATGGCTTTGATGCGTATGCAAAATAAAAGAGACACGAAAAATTTTAATTAACACATTTATTTTAATCATCACCCCGTACTTGGATAACTGTTGGTTTCAGCGATATAGGATTCATCGCATTTCGTTTCTCGCGTCGTTGTCTCTATTTCTCCTGACTGTAAACATTCTCAATAAATTTAGTACTAAAGGAACCCCCTACTTTAGGAATCTGAACGACCCTGCTGCCGTGCATAGCGCTATTTCTGCCGCCATCCATGCGTACTTTCCCCTGTCAGAAAATTTTTCCTCCGTTTGATCTACTTAACGTTCACGTTGAATTATTGCCTAGCTTTATACCCGCTGTTAATATATCCTCGAGGCCGTGTTCCTGACTACCGAGTTCCTGCAATCCATCTCTTTCTATTATTGTTTTTCTTAGATTCAGCGTCATATCCCCTTTCACCAATTTTATCCCTTGTATTATTTTCTTCAAGTTAAAATTTGGATCCTCAAAATGGACTACCTGGCGCTAACCTTTCTCTTGATCCGATTCCAGTCTTGTTTCTAACGTTTAGGCTGTGCAGTTTCTTGCCAGATTTATATCTCCAGCGTGTGTTACTTTTAGTGTCTCGTGGTCAGTGTGTTTGCACTGCATGTGTGCTTTTTCTTCTCTCCTGGTACTGAATGCGTGTTGGTTTTTTGCATGAAGGCAAGTCCAATATTAATTATTTATTTTATTTATTTATTTATTTTAGAGCTTTGTCCAACTTTCTTTGAGTACAAACCCGGTTTGGCATTTATATATTTTTATTCTTACTTATTCATATCTTATTATAGTTAATTCTAATTACGAAAACATGAATTTTTTTTATTATTACAAGAATAAAAACAGAGAGGAACGTGTTTTACCCATTAATAAAGTATGAGATCAAAAGCGATTGTAAAAAATTCTAATACAAAGACAACTATGTGACAAGAATTTTTCGGCCGGGAAAACAGCCATCCCGAATTTCCTCACAAAAACTCGCTTACTTACTCCTCCTCGTCCCTCTCCACTGGATTCCTCTCCTCCGAGAGGTCTGCCGCTGGTGCTCGGCTCGGGAACGCCGAACACTCCTGAAAAGAAAACTAGAAGGGAACTTCGGGGCACCAACCACAAAAAAAATAACTCCCTGGTATCACTTTCACAGCGTGCGCGCGCTATTTATTCTCCCTTCTCTACTCTTTACAAGTCCTACCTCACTCTCTCTCTCTCTCTCTCTCTCTGTAGGTATGTATTTGTATATATATGTATAAATATATATTGTTCCACTGTCCTCGAGGTAGATATCCTGGGATGAGCGCCTCCTGGTCGTCCGCCGCCGGCCTTAACCTTTATTCGGTTGGAGGTGACCCGCATCTGAATCTCTCACTCACACGCACATGCTCGCACACAACCCCACTTACACCTCGTGTCTCTCGACCTTTCTCGAATGCCCTGAACTCTGATAACACCCCTACCCACGACTACATCCCCTTATCACGTCTACACACACTCACCCGCGCCCGCTTGGATCGTCCCAACACTATCCCGTATACCACCCGGTGTACTGTTTACAGCACACTTACCTCCTGGTTATCCTTGCAGGGTACGACTACCTGGAACTCGTCTCACTCTTCGTGACGGCTTGGCAATTCTCTCAGCCTCGGGCGATCTCCGTTGCTCTTGCCCGATGGTCTCTCGAAAATTTCTTTTTTTCTAGCCTCAGCTGCTCTCTCGTTACGCTCGACCTTGACCCAGCTCTCCCCAATCCCTTCCTCTGCCCTATTACTTCCCTATCTCCCACCAATTCTTTTATTCAGCCTACTCTGCTCTGAAATATCTCCCGTTCCGGTCTCGCGGATGCTCGTCACTATTCTGGTTTTCTCTCTCTCGTGATTCCTGCAATCCTCCTTGACTCTGCTCTCTCTGATACCTCTCGCGGTACTGACTATGCTATACTATGCAGTAAGTCTGCATAGACGAGCGCGCCCCTCCCGTCGCACCTTGGAACCTCCAACGTTCCTAAAATCCGGTAAATCGTTGGAGGTTTCCAAAACTAAACTCCTGATGCGACAACCTGGCCCTCGGTTTCCTCCCGACGCGTCGTGAACTCCTCCATCTCCCCTCTCTTTCTTACACATACACTC